AAAGCTGCTGTGGCGAATGCACTGTCTCGGAATATTTCCGGAAAGTCGAAAAACATCAAACAAGAAAGACGGTAATCCATTACTAACCATAAACCGTGATATACGGAATGTGGGAAGAAGAAATTTAAGATCATTCCCTGAGAGATCGGACTTTGAGAAACTGACATGGAGCACGGAGACTGGGATACAACGTGGATCGGATCGAATCAAAGCGCTTCCAAGACTAAACCTTTAAAGATGAAAAAAGAGAGAAAAGAATGGTTGGAGGAAAGTAGTGGGATACACTACATTTAACGGGGGAAATAGTTTTTCTTTCTATGAAGGTCCCCAGGCAGTGTTCGTTCGTCCTTCTGGTAAAAGTAGATTGAAAAGAAGGTGAGACATTCGGAAGTGGCGAAGGAGAAGCGACGAAACGTGGAGGAAGAACACAAGTTGAATTTTCCTACATTCGTTTAAAAATTCTGGATTTTGACATGAGTTTTTTTAGGGGGGGGGGGATTCGTTCAGCTGAAGCCCCTATAAATTCTATTCAAGACTTCAGTCAGCACCTCAAAGAAAACACTAAAACTTCATTGCAACTGGTTAATGCAGTTTGAGGAAACAATGCCTGTTTACATTGAGAATTGTATGAAATGCACAAATACATGAGTCAGTTGTTGAAGCAGGCGAAAAAGTTACCGCTGGGCTTTGAAATGTTAAATTAATATTCGTGGATATCTAAAGGGAAGACAAAGCAATAATGAAGTTGAGGAAGACGAAGGTTGTCCAAATACTACAAAAAATGCGATTCTTACTCAAAAATGCTTAGTTTCTGACACATAATCTGACCCAATAGCAACAAAGCAATACACCTGGTTTATAAACGGTTAAAGCGGGCGACACTATTTCTTCCTATTCCTCGTTAGGCCAAATTTCTGTTTGTCTGTATACAAGTGAAAGGACAAACAATAATTGTTGGCTTACAGAAACCGATCCTGGTGAAGGCGCTGATGTTCGGTGCATGAACCCTCCGGTCTTCTGTCTCTCTCAGTCCTTGGCTGTTGCCCGCCTCTGTGATTGGTCATGCGCAGCAAAGCACAGTCCGCTGCGTGCTGTCACGCATGACGGAATGTGGCTCGGCTCCAGCCCGTGAACAAAGATCCCGCCGCACCACGAGGAGGGGGAAATTAACACTGGTGTGGGTTTGGTTCAAGCTCTTTGAAGACCGCGGCTACGTAGGGCTGTCCAACATACACGTACAAAACGTCTGCACGTGCTCAGGGTCGGAATGTCCCTCGTAGTTGCATTAAAAAAAGAGAAGGGGCTTCTGCGAAAAGTAAGAGAGGTACCAACACAACAACTTTAAAATAAATTATTGTCTCACGTCCAAAAGATTCTGTTCAGCGTTTGAGGTACGGTACATGATTTCGAAAAGCTGAAACGTCAAGTATTTGGTAAGGACAGTATGGGTGAGTCATGTAGCAACCATTGTTCATCCCCCAGAGGATGTATGAGTTGATATTGAGCAGCAGTGGAATGATATTGACAGGAGAATACCAAAGGACTCAGAAAACGAACCTATTCACTACAAATCCCACATGTATCAACTAATATGGACGCGAACCCGGTCCTTCGCATTACGAAGCCCACGACTAACCGCCTCAATCATGGCACAAACACAAGCGCACATTTTAAAGAACAGTTCAAACCAATATCGTTACTTACATAACAGTTTAATAGGTTGACTGCTACCATCAGGCATCTACTGTGCGGCTTGACATAGGACTGGTCTTGGATCTCTCGATTACTTGGACCTCAGTATTGTTATAATCGAATCCTCCTCTGGAAATCGATATAGGACTACAGACGTAATGTCCGGACGTTATAATCGAATCCTCCTCTGGGAATCAATATAGGACTACAGACGTAATGTCCGGAAACCTCAGTATCTGGTTTGACCGGTAAGCGACCATTACTAGGGTTACAGTGCAAAAGTGATCTATATCTACCGCTTAATTCACAAAGTAATCGCAATGCAGTCATGACAGAACAGTGGTCAATTCATACGATTATGAAAACAGATATGTAATTTCATTACTTCGGTCTGTTTATTTTAAGAAAAACCCTTGCTTGTGTTGTGCCTTTAGTGAAGCAGATTCTTGTAAACAGAAGTCCGGCAAGATGTCTGAAGGACCAGGCCAGAGCGTCCAAGCCGTGAAAGAAGAAGAATTAGGTTGGCTACGTAATCTCCGAATATCAGGCGTTTAATGAATTACAGGGATATGTCTTTAATTTAGAATACGTAACTAGGAAGGTCCACGAAAGCAGAGATGGACTGGAATTGATCAGAACATATCAGCCTCTGATCTGTACTAATAATGTTAAATTACTGGACACAAATCCAAATAGCATAAAGATAAACACAGAAGCTATGTTAAATGCTAGTAAGTAAATTCACAAAAAAATTACAGACTCATGTTCATGACTCTTTACCACACTACAGGACAAACACATTACACAGTACGAAGAGAGAGGATAGCCAAATATCCTTCCAAAATAAATATAGTGCCCAGAGGCTTTGTTGTATCTTTACACGTGTAACGGATACGAGGAACTGTGTGCAGAGTATCTTCCGTGTCTTCCACGACGTACTTATTTTTCAGTGGCAGACAGGCAGCAACAGGCGGTCAGGTGGTCAGTGCTCTCGGAGAAGCAGTCTGCGGTCCACTGCGGGCGGAACACAGAACCGCGGTATTAGAGAAACTTATTCTTCAATATTTATTTATTTAAAGAACTAGTCTGCAAACAGGGACTAATGATATTATCCAAATCATTATGGTTACGGAATACCTTCTCATCATAGGCCTATGTGTCCGTGACTATTTCGAAGGAATGCCAGCACCAGTTTTTCCGTCGAGGGTTTATGCTTATTGTCAACACCCAGCTTTACAACGACCAGACTCCATGGCCCTTGAAAAGCTAATATTACGCTCGGCTAGTCAACAAATTTCCCACACTTTATGGAACCTGAAGATTTATTACTGTATTCACAAGAGCTCGCCAAAGGCCCCCGTCCTGAATCACATACGTACAATGCACACTCTCCAATTCTATTTCCCTCAGATCCATTTTAATATTATCTACCCATATACACCTATGTTTCTGGAGTGGTCTCTTCCCTTCAGGTTTTCCAACCAAAATGTTTTGTGCACTTCTCATCTCCTTCATGCGTGCTACATGCTGTGCCCATATCATCCAACCTTCCAACTTCTTTACTTTAGTTTATTCATTTTATCCGTAACGTCGGAGACGAAATTCATTTATAACTTCTGAAACATGCATCTGCTATCGATAGAAATCAGAGCAATCGATCATTAATATCCCACAACGTTAAAAAGGTTATTCTAGTGCCTAGATTCTTTCTTCTCCTTTTTTCAATTCCCATCTATTCTAACACAACCATATCGGCCTGTCCTATACACCGTTTTCAGCACCTACATTTCTTTCGAAAGATTACCCGATCAAATCTTGACTTTCACTGAGGTGATTCGTAAATTTTCCTCAGCGCATTCAGGCGAGCAGCATAGACTTATTCAAAATTTCATTTCGGAGTCTGCGCGTTTCGGAAAAGGAAATAGCAAACAGTGTATTAGATTACATATAGGTCCATTAATAATAATAATAATTCGAAATACGCTCATGTGAAATATATAATGCCTCACGCGAAATATGTTTAATGCATGTAACACTTATTAAAAAAATAAAATGTATTTCGGAAATAGCTGCTGCACTATGTACTATGCAAGGTCTGTTACAGGTACACAGAAGTAAATAACCTGTAAAATGGCGAATAGATGGAATAACAACAACAACAAACCTATGACCTGTGTTTAAAATGTTCCTAAAATTCCTTTGAAAGTAAGTGTAACAGTTAGCCTTCTCTTAAAATTGTTTTTGTTTTCTTCTGAGCGCCACACAGAAATTACGTTGGATCAGCAATCCAAAGTCGCCTCTCCCAGCTTCATCGTTTCAAACCGCAGCCAGTACCAATTCATGAACTGTAATAATCATCGTTATACTCACCAGAGCAGAAGATGGGAGTAGTGAATAAAAAAAAATGCCCTTCTAAACACGCTTAAAGATTTATTGAGACTGTCGTTTCAGAGAGATGAATCATATCTATCAGAAAGTCGTGATGATGTCAAATGCCTACGTGCAGATAACCAATTACTCATTCCTTTTTAAATTAACAGACGAACGGAGAATAATATATATTGCGTATATTTTGAACATAAAAGTTAAGTCTCATTGTATCTGTTGTTAGTCATAGTTTATTGTTGTAACAAGAAGGCACTGTCCCAAAAAATACTACTTTCGACATTTAAATAAGATTATTTTCTTGTATTTATACGGGTGCAATTTCTATTTGAATTATGTAAATGTTAATTTGAAATTTTGAAACTTTTCATGTGAGTAATGTACAACTTAATGTTTAATTTAAGAAAAATTTATAATTAGTTAATACAATAAAATCACTTTCCTCGACACCATTCCACATTAACATAAATACAGTAGATTCTGTTTAATTGGGCTATAGGTTAATCGGGGAAGCCGTTTATTTGGGATAAATATTAAAGAACAAACATTTTTAACTCTTTACGTGGAATTTCGCATATTTGGGGCAGCCTCTTAATTGGGCCAAAGTGTTCTAGTCCCGATGATTCATATCTTCAGAGAGTTGCACTTTGACACAACAAAATATGAGCACTTAGTACACTTCTTCAAGAAAAACCAGCTAACGGCTAGATGCTTACTTGCCTTGCAAGTGTCAGCACGAAGGTTCATATCTCTGGAAAGATTCAATCCGTTAGAATAAGTCTCTCACACGTAAAAACGTACAGAAGCAAATACCAGACAGTTCATTTAAGCAGATGACGGCATCTTCGTACAAAAACTGTAACCAGAATGAAATACATTTTTTGTGTGTTTAAGTTTTACAGGAAATGTGTGCCGTGACTCTGTATAAGCAAGCCCAAGAAACCTGGCTTCTTGCCTCTTCCATTCCACTCCAGACAGAAAATCCCGATTGAGAATTTTCCGAGGTTTACTAAGCTTTTTGACGCGAATACAAAGAACATCGTCTTCAAATACTGCCGTCTTCATGTTGCTTGTATTAAAATCGTCAGACGCAAACACAAAGACTGTACAAAAACATACGAATAAATAAGTAAATATTCAAATGTAATAATCAGTCAACACACTACCGGAAAATTAATGAGTCATGCTCGTTTGTTCTTCCGACTGTACACTATGCAGTCTGTGGACTTGACTATCGCTTCTTTCCTTCAGAACTTACTTTAAGTCTCATATCATCCTTTTCACTCCAGTCCGCCCCTGAGATCAAAACCCCAACTAGTTAGTGTCACTCGACTATCCGAGGAGCTGGCTGCTCCTAGCAATAGAAATAACACAAAGGAACAACCGGCAGTCCTTTGTATACCAAAAACATCGTCCAATGAAAGGAATTCGTCTCTTTTTCATGGCAGAAGTGGTATGCACAGATAAAAGCTTTTAATGCTCATTGTAACTGTAGCTCTAATATTCTCTTGCTAATTCCGACGAGAATTCTTCAGCGTCTATCCCAGTGTAATTCAAACTCTCAAATGTGCACATTTATATTTATGTACCGTATCATCGGCAACATAAATGCAGATGGCCGAATCCTGTTTTTATTAACCAACTTATTTCTTGCCTTTTAATTAAGGATCTTTTTTTATAATTTTTACTCTTTGCTTATTTTCGAGGGTTCTTTTATTTGGCTCTTTTTGAAAGCAAATGACAACATTATCTTCATACACGAAACAGAATGCACGATCAAATAAGATTATATTATAGAAAGACTCAGATTTACATAAACGTCTTTAATTTAACGCCGAGAAAGACGACCTATCAAATAATTATCATGATACACGTTTAAAAGCAAGACCAGAAAATCTCCCCACATTTTCAAGTTTGAACATTCAAACTCGAAAACAAAGTTCTTAATGGTCAAGGGTCAGGCTGAGGCCTATTATTCTCCGGTCTTTAATCATCTTTTATTGTATTCGATATTTCTCAATATATTTGCTACGTCAGTCACACCTAAATAATTTCTAATTAACTGACTGCGCACATGCTGCCTTAATGAAGCAACTGCTACTTTCTCGCTATCGGCTGGAACTGCAAGACTCACCGCCAAGGCTTTCCCGATAAGAGTAGTTTATAAAGTCTTAATTGAACACCTCAATTAAATGGGCGAGAATTAAAGCTCACAGTAGAGATGAGAAATGCTTATAAGATCTTGGTTGGAAAGCCTGAAGGAAAGATACAATTAGGAAGATGTAAGTCAGGGATAATATTAAAACAGATCTTAAAGAAAAGGGATGTGAGGATTGAACACGATAATTTAATTTTGATCATTATCTGTTCGTATGTTAAGATTTTAGATAATAAAAATAACGTTGTCATACAGGTTAACATAATGAATTTCAAATAGTCGTGTTCGGAAAATTAAGACATCGTGTTTTACAAGGTAATCTATCTGATCAAGACTGAGGTAGAGAGACAATGATACGACAGGGTTAGAAAGTCGGTGTTGTACTGCGCACGTGGAGGACAGAATCGCTTCACACAAAGCGACTGGCAGCTGTTCTGACCAGGCAATGCCGAGTAAGGCAACCTAAACACACAGCGTAGGCAGGCCTGCATGAAGATACACGTTTCAACCACAGACGCAATCTTTTAACTGAGAGCAGGCCTTCTTAAATTACAGAACTACGTTACTGTATATTTGTGACGAACACTAGACCTACAGCTGACAAGTAAGGCTGTGTGTTATTAGAACAATAAACAGATTCGTTGGACTACCATTGTATGTTTTCACATCAGAAAGAGAGATTTAGCTGAAATATTGCCCGGATTTGTTGTTGGTACTTTATTCTTTATTTACTATCTTCGTGGGACAGAGAGCTTCTATACAAACTAATAAGCGAGAAAATTCCCGTCTTTTATAGAATACGAAGAGTCACTACCGTCTTCGCAGAACCCGCCACTGGGCCTGTCCAGCGTCCAGCAACAGATTCAACATTAACGATAAGGAATTAAATTGTTCCACCAAGAAAAATATGGATTTGAAATTGAACATAGTTTGGTGCATTTTCGGGGTATACTTTATTTTATTTTGAGGTAGTTCATTTGTTACGATGTACTTTCTTTCTAAAAAAAACGGCTACCAAAAAATTTGAGTATCTCTTAATAATATTATCAGACACGTCTTATGTGTTACGTGCGAAGAATTTAGCAAAATCATCAGCGAACTTACCAGTCTACTTGTGTATTAATTACTTTGTTTTATCATCTGTTGTGCACTTCGGCCATTACATCGCCGCTACAGGCTACTAGCTGCCCTTGTTTAACCGTGAAGGACAACTCTACTATGCTTGCCTGCCTTTTCTTCCAAAGCAGCTAGACGGGTCCATCCGAGCCAAGAACCAAAAGGTAAAGGAAGCAGAAATTACTTTGGGTCCCGCCAGGTAACATGTAATAAATTTTATGAAAGGAATCTCGCCCAGTGCCTGGAGGCAGACGTAACAATAGGCCGCGAAAATTAGGGAGTAAGGGCGAGCTAATGGCGGCGTAATTATACCCCAGTCCGCTGCGGCAGATGGAATGCTGAGAGAGAGAGAGGCAACCGACGGGCAAAGAGCTGGAACCGGCTCTCGCTTTATAACTCCTCGCCCAGAAAGTCGCTACACTGGTGTGGCCTTCTTTTTTCAACAGCAACCATCATAACGAAGACCTCACCAAAAACAGAAGTTTTCTCCAACACCCTGTCCAAAAAGCTTAATAGACAGGTGATGCGGTGGGTGAAATGGCGTTTCAAAGGCAAGGGATAATGGGATCACTGATAATAGTGGAGATAATTACGTGATGTATCTCACAGCAGGAGTCTACGTAAGAGATCGACACAAAGAGCATGTGACTCATCGTCGTAACACCATTATCACCATCAAAGTAGTTGCTCTCGGTTTCAGAACAAGAAAAATGTCTAACTTACCTGTGACACGCCTAAGCAAACTTAAAGTACAACTTCCCATGTAAGATTTAAGGTTCTCATGGTGGTGAGTACGAAGATGGCTATCTTCTGGTTTCTAGCGCCGTGTAGTCTGGTAGAAGGTTGCCAACGTTTCAGTGGTCCTTGCTGCCTCAACCATCAACTTTCCATTTGACATTTGTGTCAGAAAGTATCAAATTAAAGTATGATTATAAAATAATCGTCCTGTACCCAGTGCAGAAAATCAAGGTATACCTGTGTGAGTAAAAATTAAGGATGTCATGCTAACAAACTAACTAGATGGCTTGAAGGTTCATCACCGAACTAACCAAAGCCCTTCACCGGACTCTGTCCTGGGCCAGTAAATTCCAATCACCCATAGATCCCGCCTGACATTATCCTCCCATCTACGTCTAGGTCTCCCCAGCGGCCTCTTCCCTTCAGGTTTCCCAACCAGTACCCGGTGCACACCTCTTGTCCCTTCCATGCGCGCTACATGCCCAGCCCATCTCATTCTTCTCGACTTAATCACCCTGACAATACTGGGGGAGGAGTACAGATGCTTAAGCTCATCATTATGCAGTTTTCTCCACGCCCCATCGTCTTCCCTCTTAGGCCCAAATATCCTCCTTAACACCCTATTCTCAAACACCTGCAATCTGTGTTCCTCCCTCTGAGTGAGAGACCATGTTTCGCACCCATACCAAACAACAGGCAAAATTATTGTTTTGTATACTTTAATTTTCAGGTTTGACCGGAACACAAAATATTTTGAACTGAGAAGTAGCAAGCATTTCTGGAATTCACTCGCAAATTAAATTACCTGAAAACGCTTACAGACGATATAATAAGCCTATAGGTTTCTATGTGGAAGGCCGACCCCTTGTCACGGGAATTCTCAGAGACGTGTCTCTTAAACTCGTCCACCTGTAAAAATATGAACATCTTTCAACTGACATTACCACTACTAAAACATAGGGAGGCTGAAACATTTTCATCGTGATGTCTGACGAACTTCCCTTCACCTCAATCAATACTAGATGAAGACAGATCCTTCAACTTTTTCACAAAGATGGTCTACAAAATTCACACTTTATGATCATCCACGTTTTAGGTCCAGCGGCCTGTTATGGCCCTATGGCATTGTTTGCTTTGTCTCGCCAACGATTTTCGTTTATTTGGCTGGTAATGGGAAATTTGAAAAACACGATTTTTAAATTTACCTCTAGCTACTTAATTTGTTCATTACGTCTGAGTCCCTTTATCAGATAAATATAAACCCTATTGTTCTCCTCATGAAATTATACTTTCAATAGTTGGCGTTTGGCCTATAGCCTCTACTACCTAAATGCTCTCACCTTTATCTCTTCTTTTCGACAGGGCTCAGAAGACCGAGTCACAGAGGTACAACAGCTCCATCAGTACGATTTGCCCTGCCCAGATGCCAAAGATGGCAACTTCTTCGTTAGAAACCGGCTGGAAGGGCTTTAAACACTCTTGACGGAGATTAAATTTGGTGATAAACTGCGGAATTTCAGGCTTAATCAGAGGTAAAAAAATACGAGCTGTAGCAAACGTACGTGAAGTTTCATAATCCAAACATTAAGATTTTGCGTAACAGCCAACAGCACAACATTGATAAATGTAGAGATCTAAAACGGTGGAGGGTCGACAGCCCTTCTGGAACCTCCTCTTCGACATTTCTTATGTAATAAGCTTCGTACGTTCGTTTCTTCTATATATCACTCCACGATGAACCCAAACACTGCAACTATGGAAACAAAGTTTTATATTATTACATGATTCGACAATTAGTAGATGGCCATTTCGCTCGAGTGTTCATACAAGGTAACGACGGTGCAAAGAAATGTTCGGTCTCGACCTTCGCGGTCGATCTATTGAACAAAAATGTCAGTTTAACGACAATCGCCTGAAGACGGGAATATCGCCAAAACCCGATACGCTTTATATAACGTATCGGTATAACGAATCATTTATCGTCACAAACATTTACACCAGACGGTGGAGAAAGGTGGCTGAAAAATGAATTTGTATATTTTCTAGTTGCATTTCATCTGCTTCACTTTAAGTTAGTTCAATTAAAAATTTAAAAATTTCATACGGCGCATCCCTCCGCGCGCAATACATGTGAAGGAATCAAGTTCACGTCTATTAGAACAATGACATTACATAATTCGTTGACACTGTTTTATTTAAACATTGCTTATTTAAAATCACGTAAAGGAGCCAATTACTGAATGGTTGATGCAAGATGTCAATTTGTTTCGCCTTTCCAATAATTCCTTGGTATGGATTTGTTTGTGTATATCTATGAAGCACCAGCAATTAACTTGTACCATCTAGCGGTTACCTCTCGAACTATCTGATCCCTTTTATGCCCACAGCAAAATTCATGAAGCTATTGATAGGCTTACAAGCACGAAATTTTAGTAAAACTGTGCCACTAAATGTTAATTCCAATGCGGTTACTAATAAAAAAAGTAATTTTCTACTACAATTACAAAGTTTTAAGGCTGCAGAATGTTTCCCAATTGATTTAATTTTGATTCCAGATGCTTACAAAATCGTTAATACAGTTTTTCAAGACAGTGTCGTTTTTGATCTGCTACAAATTTGTGTTCCATGAATGCAATGCAAAACTTCAAGTGGACGAAATTCAGCAGCAGGTTCTGAAGCTTCTTTATACCACATATCCAAAATTGGCAGTTCAGGGACAACGCCAAATCTCCCAAGAGCGAAAAATTACCTCGGTCAGTTTTGGCATTCAGAACTTCAAATCACAAGTCACTCTTATATAGTGTTAGTATTTTAATTCCATTGTAAAAACTGTATATGCACAAAAAATGTACTTTATTGTCAAAATATGAAATATTAGGAATCTTGAATCCTACAATTTGATATATTGGTGATATACAGTGATGTAGTCAGTGTTAAATAATTACATTTAATCAAGTAGTACTTGTAACTCACATATATTAATTATGCAGACTTCAGTTTCGTAGTAAAAGAACTTCTGTAAAATGTATTTAAGTCTAGTAGGTGTAAGTATATGCCATATTCTCTTCTACTGAAGCCAACAAATCAAACAGAAAATCGTAAATTGAAAGAAGACCACGTGCATATGGTGTTCATATTTCTTGGCACCTTATCAGGCTCGTGTTTTCACACACATATCAACTAATCTACACATTTCTTTCATCTTAACCCACATATCGAAGAGCTGAAGTCAGCTGTTCACATTATTTGACATAGAAGTAAAATATCTGAAATGCAGTATCATTTGGTATGATAAAATGTTACGCTCCTTGATATTGTCTCGTAGGGTTTCTGTAACTTTTATTTACAGGTAATGATACATAAATTATTATTTAGTATTTTGCAGTTATGTTAATGGACTTATGAAGTCTTTGGGTCTGGAACACAAAATGGATCATTAGCAACTATTCATACATTCCTCTGCCCCAAGTTTAATTTCTATATAATGGAAACATTTACCCAACTATCGCAGTCACACATGCTGTTCATATAAAATAATGCAATTACTACAAACCTGTGCTTCGTTATTGACTAAAATAATACTCGTGTAATATTTTCAGTGTCCGTAAAGTGGCAGAACTTCATCTAGGGATACAACTGGGCTATATAAAATTCTGCTACATTTTGTGTAAGAGTGTATTAAAAGTTTCTTTACTAACTACACAATATATACTAAATGTTATAACAGCTATTTGTATTTCTTCCTTGGATAGTGTAATTCTTTTACAGAAAGATGTTAATGTTATTTTTAAAATCCCGTTACATATGTGTGTTGATATTCCTTCAGTGTCTTGACACTTCAATTTAGTTTCGAAAGCTAATGGACTCATTGATCAACTAACCACATGCAACAAAACGCTTCTTCAGAAACTGTCAGTCACTCAACCCCTTAAATTCCCTGTCTTTTATGGAATAAGAGCCTGTAATTGGTCATTTTGGAACATGCTGGTTCTTTTACTGTGACGAGTTGCTAGCTCCTGACCACAACCAAAGCTGGAGGAACACCGTTGTCTGCTGTTCACAACTGCTTAATAGCCATTTGTACATAAACCTCAGATCTTGGTCAAGAAACCAGGTATCATGATTGAGATATCTGTTGTTTTCCTTGGTTCCTCCAGGTAAATGCAAATATAGTATCTTAAATTAGGCCGTGACTGTTTCCATGCTGTATCCAACCAATTCATTATTCACTAACCATCCTATCAGTCAATGTTATAAAATCTTATAAATTTCAAGAGCGCTGTTAAATAAACCCAAAATAAATTAAATAGTGGAATTGTAGGAAATAAATAGAAAGAATAAGTTAAAAACGTACTTTGCCGCATCTAAGGATATATGACTCCTGCATGTGACTGAGCATTGTTAAATAAATTATAATAGTAACAAGAATTATAATCTGTCTTAAGCACCAATTATTGCTAACAAAATTGAAGAGCGTGTTGTTAAAGGAAGCAGCAAGACCACCAACGCATGGCGCGCAGCGTGAGTCCGACCTTAACGTCTTCATATTGCAGGAGCTTATTTGGTTACAACTATTAATTTAGTCAACTTCCTCAACAGTGGGTCCCTTGCCACCAGAACCATTGCCACTGGAGCCCCGGTGCAGTTTTACCATTATGGGTCCCACGTCACGTTGGATTTCCTTCAGTTTGTCCTCGTACTCATCCTTCTCAGCGAGAGTGTTGCTGTCTAGCCAGCTCAACACCGACTTGCATTTCTCTTGCACTGTTTTCTTTTCATCATCTGTAAGCTTTCCTGCTGCTGCTTCTTCAGCTGCCTGCTTTACCCCAAATGTGTAACTCTCAAGCTGATTTCTTGCCGTTACCTGCGTACAAACGACGAGTCAAAAACACCACGTAAATTTTCTAGTTTTTAACTAACCACTCAAAAAAATTACAATTGTACCAATCACAGCCCAAAACTCGTATCAGACATCTCTTTCCACAGTATAGCACATGGCCTGGGTGCAATTCACAGGATAATTTAATCTGGCCTATCAGTCTTTGACATTTTTATAAATATTTTATTCTTACTAAAATAAAAGTCAAGGTATTCAGAAATTACAATTGCAACAAATGCAGTATGCATACCTAAAATTGCACCAGATATGCAGAACAGTGCATAACACATTTTGTTCCATTCATGCCTTATTATAGTTAATGTCCAGCGAAGATACGAAGGTTAAACTAGATGTATCAAAAAATTTCCCTGTAAACTTGTAGTTTACCCAATTCATTATACCAATTTCTAATACAAAACTAGTTGAGATTTCTATATTCAATGCTTTGTCGTTACATTAATTTTTATTCACCTTCTCCTTCTGCTTTTCGTCCTCTGTCCGATACTTCTCAGCTTCATCAAGCATTTTGTCAATTTCTTCCTTGGACAATCTCCCTTTGTCATTCTGGATAGTGATTCTTTCTGATCTTCCAGTACTGCCTTCTTTGGCAGAAACATTCAGAATTCCGTTAGCGTCCAAATCAAAAGTGACCTCTATTTTTGGAACGCCTCTTGGAGCTGGAGGTATTCCAGTTAAATTGAAAGTTCCCAATAAATTATTATCTGCAGTCATTGCTCGTTCACCTTCAAACACCTGCAAATAAAAGTAGAAAAATTGTTCTTCATTCAATCTAAATTTCACATTGACGTAATTGCCCTTATGTAACATTTTTTGTATTTGAAATAATTGCATGTCGATCAGCTACTGCTCTGATATCAAGGAATGCAAGCAAGCAATGTTGCAAACCTTTATGTTATTTCAAGTAAAAAACTTGTTTTGCAAAGAAAATCTGAAGAAAACCCAAAAGAACTACACATCATGTTATTTAATTTCATATAACCCCTAATTTATAATATAATAATTAACTAATTCTGCTATTAGAAGCAGATAAACAATAAAAACTGCAGAACTATAACAGTACATTTTTATACTGTCTCATACTAATATATTTTATACATATATTTATACAATCCTCACTTACTGGTACCTGCACCTTGTCGTGGTGGTGGGGCTTGAGTACCTCAGTGACCCCAAGAGCTACTGGTAGGGCCTCCCTAGCCAGATTGGTCGAGGGGGAGAGGTCAGACTAAGACAGGTACCCTGGTCCTCCAGGTTGGGGGTTGGTCGCAAGGCTAACAACCTTGCACCGTAAAAAGGAAGATGTTTCGAAACCTCGATCAAAGCCTCGGACAGACGGACCTAACAGAGGACCGAATGGAAGAGGAGAATTGAGGCCACGGACCGAATACGGACCGGAGAGCCATAGAAAAAGATATTTGTAAGATGTTTGATAAGGAAATGGACAGTCAGGAGTAAATATTTTTGAGGGTCACTGGGGGAGTTTTCCTTTGCATTCAAGATCAGCTCCGGAACTGCCATATCTCTTATCGAATGCATATCAAGAATTTCTTTCATGCCCCAGTTCGTGATGCCTGATGCTTAGGTGCTTATGAATCATAAATCACAGCAACCGATTAACAGATCTCATGATTTTTCTTCTTTTAACGTCACTAGAAGTATCATAGTCATTTGGAACTTATACAATTTATGAAAGTAGCACAAAGTTTATGCATCACGCAGAAAGAATCTCAGGGATATAAAACAATTTAAGTCAATTCAACATCTTACCCTGTATTCCTGATTTGTTTGCGTTTTGGAAAGCATTCTTATCATAATTTTGAAAATGGAATATACTGCAAAAGATGACTCAAAACCTAATGATCTACAGACCTGTATTGTGACCGCTGACTGGTTGTCGGAGTACGTCGTGAAGGTTTGTGTCTGTTTGCAAGGAATGCGTGAGTTTCGCTCCACGATTTTTGTCATGACACCTCCAGCTGTCTCAATGCCAAGAGACAGGGGAGCCACATCCACCAGAAGGACATCTTGAATCTGGGAACTCGTGTCCCCACTCAAGATGGCAGCCTGCACTGCAGCACCATAAGCTACAGCCTCGTCTGGGTTGATGGAGAGGTTGAGTGCTTTACCACAGAAGAAGTCCTACATCGTAAATAAAAGTGCATTCATAAGAATTTAATATTGGAACAGGCTTTCTGGAAAATGATTTGAGGTTTTCACAGCGGTGAGTCTGAAGATGGCTGTCTTCTGGGTTGTTGAGCCGTGTAGTAGACGCCTTGATGATGGAGGCAGCAAGGACCTCTGAAACGTCGGTAAACTTCTACCAAGCGAAACAGCGCGGCAACCCAGAAGACAGCCATCTTCATTCTGTGTACTTGTATTCAATTTTTAAAGGGTGGCTAAAACAGTCCAAGAAACTTAATACATGCCTACATTTTTGTGCTATGGAAAATAAATAAGAAAGGTAGGGAAATATAAATCACTACATGGCACAAATTTTAGAAAGGACAAAGTTTGAAGGCAATCTACAACAGCAACACATTTTGGATTATACAGAAGCCTGGAGAAGACTTTATTACAAGTTTATCTGTGGTAGTAGAAAAATCTGTGGATCAATATATTATTATAGTTATTATTATTATTATGATTATGTAGACATAGATAAATGACGGAAATAAATCAAATCCAGAAGTAGATTTTAAGTTCAGAATTTAGAATATATCCTTCCCTGTCAATCCAAATATATATCGAACCATCAGATGTTTCCACATTGGCGTTAAAGGTGCTAACTCCATCACAGAATCCTTTGCTATCATATTCAGGGCGAAGCAGCAATAAATCTAAGCTTGCCTGTAACATCTTCTGGATTTTCGGGATGCGAATGGAACCGCCAACGAGCACGACGTCATGTATATGTCCCTTGTCCAGCTTTGCGTCAGCCAGTGCGCGTTCTACGGGCGTCAGCGTTGATCGAAAGAGGTCCATGCACAGCTCCTCAAAGCGGGCTCGTGTTATCTTGGCGTAGAAGTCGATGCCTTCGTGAAGGGCGTCGATCTCGAGGCTTGCCTCGGTACTCGAGGACAGGGTGCGTTTGGCTCTTTCACACGCTGTCCGCAGACGTCTCAACGCTCTCGAGTTCCCTTTCAGATCCTTAAAGAACAGCAGAAGTACAGCAGACACGCCTCTTTCGCGGGTTTGTATATTTGCTGAAAAACTGTGGTAATATTTGTGCATCATTTCGTAGGTCAGGCGCTGACAATTTTAACAACAGATTGTTGCCCTTGTGTTTATCACCATGACAACTTTCAGCAATGAAAGCCGAAGTCATCCCAATAAACACCAACACTAATATTTTCATATTCCTTACTCCTTAATTATACGTATTAACGAAGTCTTGTGCGTAATGAACAGCAAAAAAGACACAGAATCAGGTAACCAATGAAGTTGGGTAAAATGCGAAGATTTTTGACTTCTAATCGTGATATGTTGTGGTCGAACCACAGCCGGAATATTGACTAATCTAACTGAGAGATTCGAGAATTTTCTCACTCCGTCTGGTGGGCTTACTTTGAAACAACATCCTCAATGAATCACCTAATTATTTGCTACTAAATAACTTCTCAATTATAGTAGGTCGTTAAATAACATAATTAATCCGTCCACATTGGCAATTGAACATAACCTTAAGTTCTAAATCGTAGAAACATCGTATAATATTAAAGTGAAGTTATTAAAATAATTTAATTGTAATAAGTTTATTTATCCTTTTCTTGCAAATTATTTAATTTTCAGAACGACGTGGCTTTGAAGAACATAAGCTTCTGTTGATATGGATATGCCTTACCTTTTTATATTTCCGTTGGAATTCATCAGCAAAATGAGTCACTAGTCGATTATCGAAGTCTTCACCGCCAAGATGTGTGTCGCCTGCGGTTGATTTCACTTCGAACAGAGATCCCTCGTCAATGGCCAGCACGGATACGTCGAAAGTGCCGCCCCCGAGGTCGAAGATCAGAACATTCTTTTCGCCCTTCAAATTCTTATCGAGTCCGTAAGCCAGAGCGGCGGCCGTAGGCTCGTTGATAATGCGGAGAACGTTGAGACCAGCTATGGCACCGGCGTCTTTGGTTGCCTGACGCTGGGAGTCGTTGAAGTACGCAGGCACAGTGACGACGGCGTCGCTTACCTTTCCCCCCAGGTACGTCTCGGCGATCTCTCGCATCTTGCTCAGAACCATCGAACTGACTTCTTCAGGTGCGAATTTCTTGATTTCTCCCTTGTACTCCACCTGGATCTTGGGCTTACCAGCTTCATTGACGACGGTGAACGGCCAATGTTTCATGTCATTTTGGATTTTTGGGTCATCAAAACGACGGCCGATGAGACGTTTAGCATCAAACACTGTATTTTTGGGATTCATTGCCACCTGGAAATGTAAAAATTTTATAGCCAATATTTACTTGCTGGCAAAACAGTTACTTTCATCTATGCTCTGACATTGTTTTTCATTTAATAGTTTATTTATATCTAGAGGCTTTATATAAATATAAACTTTGGTAGGAATTGATAGTTTTAGTAAGTTGGTTTTCTAAATAGCTCCATTAAACTATACTCGATCACTTAAAAAATCCTGTTCCAAAATTAAATTAAAGCAATCAGAGTTCATGAAAAAAGTCAAAATTAAGTTATAAAAAATGTGTGAATTTACTGATAGCTGATAGTGTGATAATCTGAAGAAGTCGACATTTGCATTGCACTAACCGTAATGATTTTCACTCTTTTTTCTCTACTTCCTGATAATAAAAAATGCTTATTTATGCAAAGCTAATGTCACCGTTTCCGTTCCCCTTTTAGCAAACTGTACTGTTTGTTTATATTTTCTATATTTGCTTTACGTTTATGTGAAATGTACTTGAACTTTATCATCAAAAGATTGTGCGAAGACCAGATTTTCGCCATTTCTCTCGTTTTAACAGCTAAGAGTTCTGTTTGGCGCAGATGTTGATATCTTTGACTTTCACAGCGAGAAAAGAACTAAATACGTTCATAACAGAGCGTTAATTTTCAGGTCACCACTTTTGGTCCCTCACATGTAAAAAGCAACACTGACAAAGTTAAATACAGAACTGAAACTACAAGGCTAATTACGACTCCAATTAGCAATAAGGAGTTAATGAGCTGTAACTTCAGAAAAGGATTTGGGGAGTACGTGACTCTGAAGACTGGTGGATTAATTCCTTCAAAGGTGCTTTAATTGTTCTGGTAATTTCTAATGCTAACTTATCACGAATTCATTTTTAAATCACGCTTACCTAACTAAACACTGAACGTCGTAGTTGAGTGTTTAACACTCTTGCTTCATATTCGGGAGGTCCTGGGTTCAAATATCGGCCCGGAGGCCGGCTAGCCTGACTGGGGTTTTCCGTGGTATTCCTCAGTTCCTCCAGACAAATGCCAGGATAGCACCTTAAATTAGACCACAACCGCTTCCTTCCACATCCTTTCAAATTATTATTCATTATTCACTGTCGACGTTATATAGTTTGAGCTACTGAAAAAAGCGTCGTTAAATGAACTATAAATACAAAGTAGGACCTAATTTTATATAATACTGGAAAACTGAGAAATCATGGAATCAATTCAGTTTTCATTTGGATCAAATAATTTTAACGAGCGAAACTACTTCTGTTCAACTAATCTCATATACTTGATAAAGAATTGCATAAACGTATTTTCAGTTAACTTGCACAATGTGAAAACTAAGATTTATAAATGGAATTCAGCTTATTTAATTTCTCGCAATATTAATTATTTATAACTGATCATTAGTATAAAAAAAAATGTCGTCGTACGCAGTTCAGTTAAATTTTTATCCTTCATTTGAATAACATATTTTTATTTTTGAAAATATAAATGTGTTTATTATTATAATGTATTTTCTATTCAGGATGTGTTTAGAGGTGACAAACAAACAGTGGCCTGGGAACTATATCGTATTTGTTTCCTATTCGACAAGCAGTGGCGGAAGGATATTGGCAGAGGAAAACCTACCCCAGTAGAACTTCGTCAACCACAAATCCCACTGAATTGTTCAGGACGCGAAACCATGCCAATGCAGTAAAAAAAAACCCGGCAACTAATAGCCCGAGTTACGCCACTGCCTTAATTACATTACACAAATAAATAAAAAATAACGTGCTCAATAATACAGGCATATAAAGGTTTGGGCAATACACAAAAATAAGATTATTATTCTTCGAACTGTTTACTATGTTTTAGAGCTACAGGTCCTTAATAATAGTTTTGCATAATTCAGTTTTTATTAAAACAAATGACCTTAAGAACTTATTAGTAACGGTGACTAGAACCGGCACATAACTGGATTTTTATTCTGGAAACTTATATAGATAAACTAAATATATAATGTGTCTGGTATGGTAAACAGTTTTGTGACGTCAGAAAACGTTTTATTTCGCTGGACACATTGCTTCAATAGTATGTTTCTTAGTGAATATTCTGGGAGATAAGATGAAGTCAGTTCTACAGAGTAACAGCAAACAACGCCCACAGTTTGAAATTACTTTTATAGCCACTCGAGTTCAAATGCAACAGTTTCGGCGCCTTATTTCGAAGACCAGTTTCCTCCACGAGACCAAGTATTTGGCGAGGAGATAGAAAAATAACCTGGGGTTGGTCCGTCTTAAAATAGGCCTGAGAGTACGCGGCACCCACGACAGTTTAACGCCCAGCTAACCAACTGAACGTGTGACAAATTTCATTCTTTACAACTTAGTTCCTATAATAGGAACTGAGATGTGTACTTTTGAATCATTGACTACTTAGTAAAACGTGTTGCCAGAATAAATTTATGTGCTTGTTCTGTAGGAAAAAGTCTGAGTAAAAGCGCTCTACATTTAAATTATATTCTGTGCTTAATAAAAAAATGACTATAAGAAATGTACTTCAAAAATTAAAAATTAAATTTAAGGTAACTTAGCATAATTTTTTTAAAGACGTGTTCTCCGTATAATATGTAATAGTTATAGGCCTACTATCATGTCTGTGTTACATTTTAAACGAGTCACTAATTTAGATTCATAAATACATAAAGCAGAATCCTTAATGAGAAGCTAACAGTCGCTCAGCTAGTCAAAAATCTTGTCGTTTATAGAAATCGAAGATTCATTACCGTAATCACAAGAGTTCGCCATTAGTCCCTGTCCTGAGCCACTTAAATCCGGTCCATACCCTCACATCTTACTTCATTAAGTATCATTTTAATACTGTTTTCTTATCCAAATCTACTTATATATTTTCATAAATTTTTAAACTAAAATTTTGTTAGCATTTCTCATCCTTCCAACGCATGCCACATACACTTCCACCACAACCTCCTTGTCTTTATGATCCTAATAAAATATGGCGAAAGTACAGATTATAAAGCTTCTCATTATGGAGGATTCTCCATTCTTTTGTTAATGTTAATTAGCAATTTCCTTCTCGAGAACTGTCAATCTTTGCTCTCAGTGTGACAGAAATTTCGTTTAATTAAACATGAAGGGTAAAATGCCGTTCATACATATTACATAGTCATGTGATTAACAGCCAGCAGTTCATCATGGTTGTAATTTAGCACTAAATTACTTATAACCGTCATTTTCATGTTAAGAGTTGTGTTGTTTCTCGTTCGAAGGCAGTAACAGTTTTCTCGCCGCACAAATAAACAGAAGATTCGGCTTGCTCATAATATTGCTTCATTTTGATCATAAAGTATTAACGATTTGTGTGTCCCTTCATTCGACCAGATACAAATGTGTTTGAATCATTTCCTTGAAACTCGTTATGAGCAGAATACTATTGGAGACCAACGTATCTACGTGAGTTACTTATAATTCGTCATCATCAACAATATGAGCTTGGAGGCAACCTCTTGTTCGACTATAGACATCTGTAAAAGCGGCAACTTCGACTTTGTCCATTGTCTATATTTTAATTAAATTACGATTCGAAAGTTGGATCTTCTTCCGTTTTTATGTAAAAGGGAAAGGATAGAAACCCTAGCTGTTTGGCCCCATGGTAAAGGTGACCTTAGACCTGGACCTTCAGGCTACACCAAAGATGAGGTCTTTTTCTTTTAAGAATTCGCTACCGTGAACGTTCCAAAACTTGTGGGTAAAATGTCAACTGTGTAATGAATAATTACTTTGACGCCAAAACAGTATATATGCAGGATATTTAGTATTATTTGTTTTGATATTCAAGTTATTGCAATTTCCGCGTGAGAACGTGTGTTCAGGAGAAAACCCGAAATTTGAGCGTCATATTCCACGCATCGTGATGGCGTAGCCTTAACTGGTAGGACCCAATTCTATTTATATATAGCAGCGTGACTCCCACGTCCGACCAGACTTTGAGTATGAAGCAGGAAATTGAAATATTTCCAGCAACCAGCGAGAGACAGTGCAGTCTAGAGTGCGCAAGAAAGTGTTCGCCTACAACTGAGAAAGACGTAGGCCTATATCTGTTTATTCATCATTTATTCAACGATGCTGTCAGCATGTCAGATTATACAGAGTTGATTTATAACCCTGGGTAACCACCGAGTATGTGGACGGGTAGGCCCACAGCCCAATGGCGTTACTACATCGGTCATTCCAGCCCGTAGCTAGATACTTTCCTGGCTGAAAAATCTCATTTGTTGCTTTCAGGAGCAGGATTTGAGTTTATCGCGGTGATTCCAAAGATGGGTGATGTTGGAGGCTGGTAAACTTTTACCAGACTACACGGCGCTGAAACCCAGAAGAGAGCTGCTATCTTTTGTTTACAGGAGCGTTAGAAAATAAAAGTTGCAAGCAATTCGCCGATTAACTTCATCCTGTCTGCCTGTTCGTAACAATTCTAGAAGGCTGAATAGACAATCACAACATTTAATGTCGTGATACTCAAGTTTTGGTTTAAAAAGTTATTTTTCTTGGAGTGTTCTTTGCTACGATATCCTCCATTTTCGCTGTACTCTTCACAGTCTACTTTGATTTCAAATTAACGCGAGGAAAATATTTGGAAATTCGCCAGGACGCCCTTGGTTGAATATTAGACTTTGCGATGTCTCTACAGTTATACGAGAGTGCAGAAAGGAAGCGGACAATACAGGCCTATATCGTAGTTTATGCTCTGGGTAATTAAATTAATAATAATATAGTGAATTCTATACAGAACCGAAAAACAGCTCTGTAGTAATAACATTTCTGAATCAGCCGGTAAGCCTCTTCATACTTTGTTTCCATTCTTCCCACACTCCGCTCTCGGTCTTGCCAAAATTTACGCTTAGTTACAATTCTCAGTGACTGACTTATAAAGTATGCAGTCAAGAGGATGATGGTGTTGCAATCATAACTTGTTACGTAATGGTGACTTAAAGACTTACAGAATTAAAAAACAAACAAACAAACTATCCTTCAAAAGAGATCAAAGGTTAAATTCGATTTACTGTAATCTGTAGCTGGTAGGACAGGTTAGACTATTAATATGTTGCCACATTCTACTCCATCTGTTAATTAATATATACTCGATAGTTGGCAATCCAACTATGTATTCAATGTGAGTAATAAACATTAAATATCAAGTCGTATTCAAGTAACGTCATAGCTGATTATGTCATTTGTATGAGTTACAGAACCATATTTGGAAGTTTCACTTCCATCTTGTCAAGAAGGTGGTTGTCCTCTCAGAACCACGATTGAAAGAAACGTTGGAACACAGCACATTCACTGATTAGTCAGTCGATCGTGTATATTCGTGCAGGCACCAATGTATTGCCTTATAGGGCTGTTGGCATCAAAGTGCATGGAGTGCAGTCAACAAAACCCAAAGACCAAACTACGTTTCTTTCATAAGAGTTTGAAATTCTTCACTTCGACCTCGACTTTAGTGTATTTTATTTTCTAATGTAACAATTCATTAATGCTTCTAGTATGTAAACGTAACAATATCCGTTTAAACGTTGAGTGCCTTGCAAATTCAGTATGATGTAACTTGTTTTGTAAAGGGCAGACATGCTTCGTGGGGCGTGTCCGTTACTTAGACAACTGGTAGAAATGATAAGAGAGTTTAGCCTAATTGTAAAGCATCTGACCTACTGGAAAACTACTTTAAATTGTTTCCTTTCCAATCCTTACCCCCACATAGTACACTGTCGTCGCAATAATCATATCTCGTGTGACCCTACGTAACATCTCAAAACAAAAGCAAACTGTCAATTAACCTACAAATCAACAACCTGTAATGTCTTTCTGCTTGCAAAGAAACACTATCGGAAAATTGTATTCTGGCAGTACATTGACGTTCCAAAGGTGCCATTTACGACACATCGCTTAGGTAGTTTTTGCACTGTGGCCCGAGGTCCTATTGTTTCAAAAGCGCCACAGACAGACAGACATACATGCATGGATAGGCCAATAACGTGCTCTTAGCTCACGCTAAAGTGTGAAGAACACCTACAAATCAGTAGAACATATCTGCTTTAAAACGTCCTAATGAGTGGAACTAACGTACTTCTTAATGATACTAACAAAACGTACTAATGAATGCTACTAAATGACACTTTTACGTCCACTGCTCCTTAAAACCTGACAGCTCTGTGAGTAGGCTAGTGCATGATACTATTATCATTTACCTATTATCAACAAGATCTACGATAAATTAGTCTTCACAGTATAACGGTCAGTGGAGGAATATGAATATGTGTTAATATTGCTTACTACAACGATTTGTAGAGAAATTTATATAATTAAATTATTCCTTTGTGTTGTAGTTTCGTGAAATTGATATTATACAGCATAAATTCGGCGTAAACTTATAAATCTTTGGTTCCAGGTAAGAAGTGCCTAAGCCAAATGTAATTCCTATTTATTTGAGTCCTCGTAGCGAGCAACATTTAAGAAATCGCTTTACGGCCAAAATTTCTCATTCCACACTATGTAGCTGTGTGAAGTTGGTACAGCGATATTAAATAAACTGAGAATTAAACAAACTGTACACATATAAATGAGCCGTACATCTCAGACTTACTATTATTATTATTAGTGTTCTGTCTGACGACAGGTCCATATGAACAGGATCCTTCTATCCTTCTCTCGGACTGGGATCTGTTCATATACGTTCTTGGCATGATCCAGAAGTGGTTTTCCATTGCCTTCTTCTGTGTGTGAATGGAGTAATTGTTGGGATGCCACGGAGAAACCGGAGAAGCCTCAGGAGGAAATCTCCGTGTTGCCTAGACCACGGCCTTGCCCAACACAAGTTATAAATTCGGGCACCGCCGGGAATCGAACCCGAGACCCCAGGATTACAAGGCCAGCGTTCTAACCGCTAGACAACCGTGGCGTTAAAGACTTACTATTACAGATCGAAAACATCTGAAGCATTTCAAATAAAATTTAATGAAGTCCAAAATAAATAAATCAGTATTAAAGGCTGGCGTCGTACGTCAAATACAGAAGAGCATGTGACAAATGTGTAAATCCACTCTCCATATTGGAGTAACTTTTCACCCTAGTAATGTTTTAAGTTGACTCATCTTTATGTTGGTATAACAGAACTTTGTCTATGTTTTCCCAGCAGTGAATTAAAATGGATGGTTCACCATTAACATATTTTCTAAAAATCTTACGAAGAAAAATAAAGTAGGTAAGTCAATGTTAAAACTGACGTGAACTGACTGTGACATCTAGAAGGCAAACGTACCAGTTTAATTACGGGACCATTTTTTCGTCTAAATCACAGACCGGTTAAATTACGGCAGGTTCGACTCACTAAATACATGTCTATAGTCGAGTCGTCTTGATGGACGAATAAACTGGTCAGTTTTAGGATCAGCCAAATTTTACCAAAAAAACAAAACAACAACAACTGAATAGTAAAAATATTAGTGAGGGCCGGATGAGAATCGCCATCTGTCTTTCGACTTTAAAGTGTCAACAGGTAACATATATCTCCATAGTTTGCCTAAGGGAATATTACAAGTCATACTAACCTTCCCGGGCTAGTGCACGTTCTTCGCCCTGAGCTATTCTATCGCAAGTCGGCAACTAGTAACCAAATGAGTTAGTTCAAGACACTCTGTAATATCTTTCAATGCTAAAGATTATTTGTTCCTTTGTGTTTAAATATTAATTCTATTTGACAATAACTAAAAGAAGTGATGATGTAATGTCATGACGAAACAGCTAGGTCCTCAGATCAAACACAGACACTATTGCAAACTCCTGCTCTCCAACGTTTTCAACGAACTTTCAAAGTTCGCTAAATTAGGAACACAAATATTTGCTACCATATTTTCCAGTGAAAAGACGCACAGTTTTACCTTAAAAACATGCCTCAAAATCACTGTGCATCCGTCTTACACAGCGAAGGTTATCACCGTTGTCAGCACAGTTGCACTCTAAATCCGCCACAGTAGGTTAATTTCGGTTCGAATTCGTTTCTCCCCCCGAGAAGTAATGTTCAACTATCAACATAATTTGATTACGTGTATAATTATTATAATTAAATAATGTTTATGAAAGGTTAGGTACATCCATATATTTTTTAGTTTTATACCTTAAAATTGCTTTAATTTTGTGGGTAAGTCTTATACATCGGGAAATACTGTATTTGGAAGTGTGCAGAAGTTCGCACATCGAAAACTCAAATTCGGTTCATGTATTTAAAATTCTAACTTAAAGAATTTGGAATTTGTATCTAGACCAGCGACTGTGTGGCCACCAGCTACTACCATGAAGAACAGGATAGCCAGAACTAGCCAGATTGGATGCATCGATTTTCGTTCAAATTTTGGTATTACTTTTTTGTAAGCCACAGATAAACTCAGTTTCTAATCGCGTTTCTCCAAAACGTTGGTAACCATCTGAAAGACAATACGGCGGCACAAGATAATTCACAGTCGTGAGAACCTAAAATATCAGTTAATTCTGTTTGTTTTGGTACTGGGTCCTTTTTGTATTGGACATGTGGCACTTTACAATTCACAATTTAAGTTACACGCAAATAAGTAGCTACTTATACTACGGTCCAAGGCGTGTTTTCAATGCAAACTAGGTAGCGATTTAGAAAATGTTTATGAACTTCTTGGTAATAAATAACCTATTACACATTTTTTTTAAATGTCAGTGGTGCCCGACCATCGTGTGTTAAGATTTGAATCTAGCTGTATATCGAAAAGTATACATATCATTGCAACACTGTGGCCAAGGAATGTAAACTATGCAGTCTTGCGCTACAATGTAGTAATAAAATGGGAACGCTGTTTGTTATTCTCTTGTTTTATTTACAATAAATAATAGGTAATTATATCCCGTTAAGATTACATCAAAATGCGTGCACTGAAATTAATCTCATATGAGATCAAGTTATACATGGTATAAAATCTACATCTAAAGTAAATTAAATAAATTACATCCATAATAATGTATTAAATCTGGCCCTGATTATTCAGTGCTTATCATAAAATAATACTTTTTTTAAATTTCACGTACCCCCTAAGATGTCATTGAGAACCCCCCGGGGGTACGCGTACCCCAGGTTGAATACCACTGCATTAACCTATAGGGCAGTCTCAACAAGCTTCATGATTCTGTAATGGCAGCGGAGTATTTTTGAAATGTTTCATTTTTGCTAGAACAAAGGCCATTTAGAAAATACATAATTCGAAATGAATTAAGGAAATTATCACAGAACAAACTCAAAACAGAGGATGTTTTCAATTTCAGTCACAGAAATTTGCAATATAGATTACGAAAATCTGAACTGAGGTTTAAATAATAGTTTCGTCTCTTATAAAAAACATTCAAACCTTCCCAAATCCACCAGTCAATCTCTAAATTGTTTTACTTACGGTTATTAAGCATAGCAAACAATTTTAACTTCCCTATCACAAATTAATTTCAAACAACTGACAATAGGCCTACCTGACTTTTGGCAGCATCGCCAATTAATCGTTCCGTATCAGTAAAGGCCACATAACTTGGCGTTGTCCGATTCCCTTGATCATTTGCAATAATTTCCACTTTTCCATGTTGCCATACTCCGACACAGGAGTACGTAGTTCCAAGATCTATTCCTACAGCTGGTGTCTTTCCCATGGTGACAACCACACTAAAATGAGAACGTTTGAATTTCGCTCGAAGCCACCGGCTACTCTACTACCTTCACCGCAGAGAGGTAATTTTTATCCCCGTCCGCCATGATTTTACGATACGTCCAACAGAGGTCGGCCTTATCTCCCATCCTCACAAATAGTGTGGGCGTAGAAACTGCTTTAATGTTCCAGAAAGCAAGGCGTGTGTTTTTTTATTATTCCAAAACCACGCCAGGAAAATATAAATAGAAAGTTTCCGAGGTAACGCAGAAACAAAGAGAACACTGCTACAAGCAACATTTTCATGCGTAATTTTCCTACATTTTAACCCTATTCAAGCAAATATGAAATTCACTTTTTCAAGTCCATTTCATCAAGTTCATAGTTTCGATAACTATCGTTGTTTAAACTGTTAGAAAGAACACTTGAAATGGTAGTAAACATCCGCCCTCGTATTCAGAAGCCTCGTAAAGAAAGCGTGATGTGTATTCTAGGCCATACACGCTCAGATTTCAAAGACGATACAGAATCGTATCAGCAGGCCGTCCTCTCATCCGACACATGTTGAGATTTGGAAATTAAATTAACTAAATGTTGAAATTTTGTCTTTCTCTAATTTTATTAAATCATCATTAACTTATAGCAATATACTGAAATAATCTACTATGACAGAACTAAATACATTTTACGTAATATTGAATGGCAATGAGAAGTTGTGATTATGATACAAACTAAATTCATTGTAGGTCACGGAAAACTATACACGACCAGTTAACTGATCTAGAAAGCAAGTTTCTATACAAGGAAGACGATAAATGCAAAATGAGAATGTGTACTGCGTAGTCAAAGCAACATTAACATTGAAATATAGCTACGACTTTTTGAAAGGCTCCACACGTGTCTCTACAAAGAATGGGCTATTTAAAAAAATCTGACGACGTCCCACAGCACCTGGATTTTCAAAAGATTCAGAAAATTAACTTTTAATAAATATTTTCGTAACTCACATAGCTATACTTTAAATAAACCTACAATACAACACATTGTATAAAATATATAAAGTTTTCCCTGTTTAACGAGACATCGTGAATCACCTACACGATATGGCATGTACATTTAAAATTGCGGGTGATTTCGATTTTTAGAAGAGCATCGGGTTTCCATAGCAACCACGCAGCTTTCTCAAATAAATACTCGCTCAGATATACAAGTACAAGAACTTGGGTCCATAAAGTACAACTGTAGTAAATTGTGACATCATGACTGGTAAAAGTAAAAAGAAACCAAAGGAAAAGGCAAAAAGACAATCCACTACAAAGAAGTCTGAAGGCAGGTCTAAATCCCGCTGTAATATAGATATTTTTAATGAATCTGCTATGGAAAATGCCTATTACACATGTCACAACATCCAAGATGTGCTAAAATGCCGTGGGTTCCCATGGCCTGATGCCCAGAAAAAGAAAAAAAAGGGAAAGAAGCATTAAGAAATCTGCCGGTAATAACATCTTACTATTTACAAATTACATTTAATTTCAAAATAATATATAAAATTAAGCATGATTGAATATAAGTGTATATTCTGCATGTAAAAGTATATGTAAATTATTATTAATGTGTACTTACGGAGTAAACATGTTGACTTTCAAGAATATCTTAAAATTTACACATTTCATTTGCTTACATTACAGTGTTCAGGATTTCATCATGGAAGCTAGAGCTTAATCAACGCTTTATTTGCTGAATGTTTCATGAATGCACAACTGTCTCTTAAATTTTCAACTGGTGAATTACTTATTACTGTAAATACAAAAAGCTTACTGCTATCATAGTCATTGCTGTGTAAAGTCTGAGGTAATGCATCTTGTTGATGAGCAAAGCACTTCTTGTTCATGTAACAAATAACAGAAACTAATTCGTAGCATACTTTGCCAACAACAGGTATAAAACAAAAATGATACCAGACAAAGCGCATTCAGTTATTATAGGCAGTCCGTTGTTCAAATAAATAGGTTTCTCTGAAAATAACATTGTTTTCTGAAGGAGAAGCCCTTAGAATAGTTGTGTGCACTTCTGTTAATAGTTAAAATATGCTTCAGTGTCACGCAAACTGTTTAGGACAACTTTCATCGTTGTATTAATGTTTCAAGATTATAAGCAAAGCACACACTTGAATGTTTAGTAACAGAAAAAAAAAACTAAAACGAAAACATTCTTGAAATTTTGTTATATTTACGTGTTTGAAATTTATGGCAGATCAAGAGTGGCTTTATATCTTGAATAACAATCTTAGAAAATGTCTTTAATAATGTAATTCCATTTAAATAATCTATGCAAGCCAAATAGTTTGTGCAACATCCTTAAAACTCTGTATTTAAGGTGACAACAGAGACCACAATACCCTCTCTGCTGCTCAATTACATCCTTTGATAAGAGGCAAAAACAGAAATATTGACAGGCATTAATATTTCATGTTTCATTATATGTGCATGTAAATTACATTCCAATTGTGAGTCTTACATAATTCTTCTATCCACCTGACATCATGCTGCCCCCCCCCCCAGCCTTCTCCCATAAGGGGTGTGATATACATATATCTAACCTAACCTAACCTTATATTTAGCCAAATATGCTTTTTCAATCATAAATACTTGTAAGAATTATTTACCACATACGTTATTAGAGATGAGTGAATATCAGAAAGAATTACGGAAGAAGATGCCAAGAAAATCTGGCCCCGTGCCATTCAGTAGCACAATAAAGCTAAGAACTGTTCTTCTATGTGCTGACTTCCTTACACCCTTTTTGGACTAAAAATTTAATGATATGAATGTCTATGCAACTGACAGCTGCACATAGATTGCTAGGCTTATGACTTTTTTAAAAAAAAAGTCAGTCTTTACTGCAGGAATAGCCAAGATTCACATAACCACAGACAAAAATATTTGAGAAAATAAAATATAGTGTAGCCCTTAAACGGTTAAAATCTTAATTATGTCCCACTAAAACAAAGAAAAGAAAGAAAAGCGTGGCACAAATGCAATTTAATGAAGTAAAGGATAAACAGAGACACTGTGATTACTTAAGGGTGGGATATGATACAGGAGCTAAGCAAGAAATAAAATAACAGATACACCAAACATCTCAATTCCTGAGTTTTATTCAAAAGTTTTTTAAAACGTATTGAGTGGTTACTGCTTTACTACTGAGGACATAGGCCCCAGTGGCAACAGAAAAGGAGAATGGGTAAGGTTCAAGCTGGTCTGGTCGTGGTGATAAAAAGAAAAATCCATGCCCTACTTGCGAATGATTGTAGTATAATTTATGTTCCACACCACATTAGTATGGCACATTTTTGACATACAATGGTCCAGCTGCACCTAAAATTCAGAAATTAACAGAACCTGGTTCAAATTTAATAAAATGCATCACTTGCAATTATTTAGGTTTCACTGACAGTAAATTAAGCACTTATTGCACCAGTTTAACAAAACTGAACACAGCTATTGAAAGACACTAGCATTTATATTTAACAAATAAATTCACCACGACCAAAGTTCAAATACGTTTTTCAGTCTGAAAACATTAAACATGATATGAACTTCAAACAACTCATATCCAGTAACATCCAAGTGATAGAAAATTCAAATTATTCCTGTTTATGCAAATGGGGATTTCTTTTGAGAATTAATTCTGTGCCATGCTCAAAGGATCAGGTACTATTTTAAATGTGATACAGTGTTACAATTTACAGTGTATGCTTGAAGACACAGAATAAACTTGAAAATCTTGTAAAACTTGTATGTAAAAAATATGCCATAAAATTCAAGATTTCATTCTCCATGTCATATGAATATAAGAATATTCTGAAGAGTGACTTAATGCAGAAACTCTGAATAACATTTTTCACCATTTCCATGTATTTTCTTGACTGATGCATGTAATGTATTATGTAGAAGGTACAAGCTTACATTCCATTAATATTGCTTGAAAATGCTGTAACAAATAGTACCAAGTTGAACTTTACACTTAATAAAAGGTTGGTTCCTTCCTCACAGACGTATTTGGTAGTTCAATAACTTTAAGCAATTCCACAAAAATACTTTTCCTTTCATATGTGACTTCAAAACCTCAAAAGAGAACATCTTTCCTTACTTTACTTGAAAATAAAGTTGATTAACATTTCATGTATAGCATTTACATCCAATGTATGGGAAAATTCTGTCCCACAAGGCAATAAAGGTTAAGGCAAGTTCATTGTTCAATCAAACATAGCTAAAGATGTCAAAAGAAACTGCAACAGCCACTTCAACTGATATAACATCTTTACAACATTAATAATGCAAGAAGACGGAGATTAAAAATGAAATACAGACATTCACACGTTTCCTATATAAACACACTCTAAAATATTTACACAAAATGTTCACATTATGTTAAGATACAATAAGGTTAGTGAGATTTTAGTATAATTACAAAAGCTGGAAGATATTACAATATATACAACTTAAAACCAGATCTTCTATAATACAAACATTTGGCTGGCTTCATTCCCAATAACAATACACATAATAATGGTATTATAATTTCCATTTGACTTTTGTAAGCCAGTACATAACTAAACCATTTCAGCAACATTTCAAGTTCTTGAATAAACTTTAAGGTCTGTGTTTTCATCATGAAATTTGAATAATTTGTATTTGTTAAAATTATTCAAGTTTCCTTTTACATGTTTTCAATATCAAAATTGTAATGTTTTAAAAGAATGTTATCATAAAAACTATTTTAGTTTAATATACATTCACGTTTTATGTTAAATTATTATTTAATCTTTGTAAAAAATATATGGGGAGAAACAACAGGCAAATTTGTTTTTTGACTGTCATGAACATTTAGATCATACTGAGCTTCACACTAAGTTAGCTATCTCTTTGGTTTCTTTCCCCACAATTCTACTGCAGTTCTCTCAAAGTGGAGGGTAAATGGTATACCAGTAATAATAATAATGTAATGACAATTCTCAAATAGTAATAGACGTGAAACTCTTTCCATGGGAAATTAGAAATTTATTATACTGTCAACACCAGAAAATCAAATACATATCCCATGTCTCATATTATTACACTCTAGGTCATT